CAAAATTGTAAGTTTTCTATGCATATCTAATGTTTTTTGATTAAAATAAGCTTAAAAAAATGCATATTTTGGCAACTTGGTGCATATTTTAGGAAGTATTGCATATTTGTGCATATTTTCTTCAAATCACTAATTTCTGATTAAAAATTTCAGTTCAAGTTAAAAATTGAACAGTTTAAGAAAAATAATCTTATTACAAAATATTTTAAAGAGGAAACAACCAGTAATTCGTAAGCCAAACTCAAAAAATTGATACCCTGCTGAGTGTTTCCTTTTTAAATTCGTTTTATACTGGGTGAATATAAAATATTGACCTAAGTGGTTTTTTTTAAATCATTTGTTTCCAAAAAATAATAATAAATATAAATTAAAGTAATATAAAAAAATATTTTTTTAGGAATAAAATTTTGTTTTGTTTTTGAGTTATTCGATTTTTGTTGTCTAAATTGCGATAAACATATGTAAAAAAAATAATTTAATATAAAGTAGAGAGTTGACTTTCATGAGAAAAATGTTTTTTTGGTGGATTGCCATTTAAAAAAATAAATATTTTTGTAGAACTCAGAAACAAAAAAATAACAATTTTTAAAAATTTAAATTTTTGATAAAACATATTTCTATAGAACTTTATAATTCATCATTTAGTTTTTTCAAAAAATAAATACTTTAAGCAAAAAATGTGATGTGATCTGAAAAGTACAAAGTACAAATTTTTTACTAGGTTATTAAAATGGCTTGTCTGAGGTAAAACCAATTTATTTATTCTTTCATTTATCGTGTGCAGTTCAAGATGTTTAGAGTATTCGAGGATAAAAATTTATCCCAACTTTGATTTTTTATTGTTAAAATTTTTGTATATCGATGCATATTTGGGATATATTCGAGCATATTTCTTAATATTTTGTGCATATTTTTGTTAAAATATGTGCATATATATGCGCATATGTTACGAATTTTTTGTGCATATAATCCGAGCCTTAATCATGAGTTTTACTTTAGTTGTTTTTGATGCTGTAAGTTGCTAATTCAGCACACTGCTGTGATCTGTATTTAAAAAAACAGCTTGAGAATAAATGAAGTGAAACAATATTTCTAAGTATATTTTTTATTAATAAAAGATGAATAAGATTTGACTAAACAATAAATTATACATAAATTAAGTTTTAGGGAAATATAGAAGTAGAACCCTACTACTGACCACGTTTGAGTGTCTATTGTTTGCAAAATCGCGTGAAAAGCTCCTGTATGTTAAATCTAATAACAGAAACCTCAGCCTTTGTTCCATTATTATCCAAGTCGCTAAACGCGACGCAGGACGCACACGATTCATGTGTAGTTTATTACTTCCTGATAAGAGGTCACATCCGCTGAAGCAAATTTCAAATTCTAACGTAAATTGAAACTATACTTCATGGTACTCCGTACCATTCTAGAAGCATAAATGCGGTATTAATCTCATTCATATTCACTTGGTTATGCTAACGACAATGCGTATATACATGCACGTGAAATCTCACGTGTGCATTACCGCTTTGAAACTCCTTTCAACTCCATAACTTCAGTTTCTAGACAAGTTTCACAATTTGAAATTGTGTTTACTTGCAAGTTTTTTTGTATTTTTCCTGATGTGTTTTTGTGGTATCTATGTCGATCTGAATACAAAGGTTTGTATAGCTGATAATGATATCCTTCCGGAGCACCATCTCACGGTAAACTGATAATAGGCGCGATAAGCACAACCCGGACTCTGCTCTTGGCTACGTACAGCTTTATCTGCTCACGTTGCATTAATGTGCTAATATATACAGAATAGCTTCACCTGCGTCCTTGCAGGACCAAATCGATTTTTGTGACGAGCTTAAAAAATACGGCTTTTTTCTTACCAAGAAAGCTTGTTTTACTTACAAACAAATTTTGAATAAAAAATTAGCTGTTTTAGATGTTCAAAATCTTATAAATTCAAGGGGAAGAATAAGCAACATAAAATAAAAAATATTCATGTTCAAATATTTAATTATATCCTACTTTTCAACTTATTTTTGTTTTTGTTTTGGCCTCACACTTTTTAGTTTTGCATGCATATTTTTAGAATTCTTTTAATTTTATTTTATTTTAGAGAATTGAATTATCTCATAATCAATATTAGAAATTTCCATCGTGAAAACATGAAATAATTTACCTGCGAAATATTTATTGAAAATACCATAAATTCCAATAAGTGGGGAATGTCAAGTTATATAGTAGTTAAATGTGTTGTGTTAATTACTGAATTGCGAGTAAAAGCACTATATTGTGTACATACTTACTCACAATAAATTTAGTGTTTTTGAAGTAATAGCAGAAAAATAAGTAGGTACTTAGTAGGTCAATAGGAAACACTTCTCCAACTCGCATCCCCTTCTAAAGTTTGTAAAGTGACACCTGTGTTAATTATGATTCAAATTTGAAACGTGAGAGAGAGTAATTAAATTTATATTATTGCCAGCTGGTCGTGCAGAATGGCACTCAAACCAAAAGTAATTTAAAAATTATTTTCAACGATTGTTGATAAATTAATTGCAATTTAATTGGTTGGAGGTGAATTACGACTAATTATTTCTTACTAAAGAAAATGTTTAGCATACAGAGTGGCTCCGCTTAGACAACCTCAGCGAATTTTTTTGCAAACCGCAAACACAAAATTCAAATTTTGGCTTTTGTTATTGTAATAAAGAGTTTTTTACCTAAAAATTACCTGATAATATTTATCACTTAATTTTTCTGTTATTAATTATAAACTTAATACATGGCTGATTCACATAAGATGACGAATCTTACAAAAAATCACTTTACGTGAATTAGCTTGTGATATAATAGATGCTTACTAAATTAAAAAAAGAAAAGAAACACCAATCAAAACAATGTTTTGTTATTAAGAGTAAAAGTACGTAATAGTTTATGTGTTTATTTTGCCAAACATAGTGAGTTGATTAGCAAGTAAATGAACAAAATAATCAAAACGCTTTGCAATGAAATCATAATAACATTTCTGTCAGTAGCGGAATTTGTTTTAAAATTTTTGAAGGTGTTTATTAATTTAACTAGTGCAGTTAGTGGTGTATGAACCTTTTCAGAAATTGCTGAAGCAGCGAAAGAGACAACATTGATAAATGCCTTAGTAAAAATACAAACATTTCAGTGCAAAAATAGAATTTTTACTCTATATTTGAAAGATAAAATTTTTACTGTAATATTTGTCATAAAAGTAGTGACTTTTGCGAATACAATATAGTATTTCAGAAACCGTAAAACACAGTTTTGTTTGCTTCTATATTTTACAATATGTATTTAGGTTATTTTAACACACATGCTAGATGATGTCTTAATTGAGACAATCTATATGGCTTTGTATTGATTTTGCAAAGATTTTTTATTTTATTTTGCTAATAAAAACTGGGTGCTAAAAATTATGGATACAACTAAATATATATATAACAGTTTACCTACTTTTTGGGCAAAGTTCAAACGGCAAAGAGCTAACAATAAATAAAGACAACATTTCCAAAGCTAAAAAAATACGTTTTTTTAAAAATTTAATTAGTTCGATATTTCTTTTAATAAGGTATGCATGTGTTACATCACCGAACTCAGAAAAAAAACTTTTTTAAAAAATAATAAATTTGACCTTTTTTGACATAAAAAATCAAGTTAGCCTTCTATCCTCAGAACAAATGGAGATAGAAATTTAATAAACATCTGAGACCACGGAATTTAAATACTTTTAAAGCATACTGGGTGATTCTTAAATAGACCGACAAAATTTTATCACAGCTTCCCAACGATAAATGGAGGTAAACTGTACGATTTTTAGGTTTATATCTTTTAGGGGCAAAACCCCCTTGATCCGTGCCARTWACGGCGTTTATGAATTGTTGCAATAATCAAGTACATTTTTATCAAATTAATACCATGGTTTCCACTACCTGTGCTAATACTATTTACGAACACGTCAGTGGCGTACGCTTTACTTCGAAAATCACTTAAATAAATTTTATTTGGAGAACGGTTAAACAAAGAATTTTTTAAATATTTTTTCCAGCATGTTCTCATTTGATACTACCAAGGATAAAATTTTGTCGGTCTAACTAAAAATCACCCTGTATACCAAATTTCAATAAGGTTGGATGAAGAGATTTTATAATATTGAACCTTGTCCATACCTTTTAGCGACCCTGTATATCGAGTAATGTACAGATTGTTTTAGATTTTATACTTTTTGTTTAAATATTAATAAAAAAGCAGTAACATTCTGCAATTACTATGTAAATATTTTTACTTAATTATACAGGGTGTTTTATCCAGTAGAGATTTGATATTTTTTGATTATTTTTTTTAATGTTGGTTATTATCAGTAGTTTAAGAAACCTAAAAACATCGTTTTTTTTAAGCGGAATTCAAATTGTAATCACAATTCTGTTAGTTTTTGAAATTCTAGAACTCACTGAAATAAAATAATTTTGTTTTTTGGATGTTTTAAGTCAGACATGCTGTATAGTCTGTAAATTCTAATTTTATTAGTTAAATAGCTAAATATGTGCATGAATAAAGTTAAATTTATTTTATTTTTTATTTGTGTTATATGGGCAATATTTTGTAGTCGGTATATAATTTTGTATTGATTTTTACTTTACTGATTATTTGTTTTCGTTGGGTTGGCGTGTTGTGGTCCCATGACCTACACCCATAAGTCTGGTCTTAGATCAGCTCCTCGCGTTCATAAAACCTTTTTCTGATAATTCCGAGCAACATTACTCGAATTTATTATATCAGGTCCACGTCCTGCAGGCATGCAATATCTCAACAAAAGAATTCTTCTTCCGAAAAGTCTCTCGTCCGCAATTAAACGGAATTATGAGAGCGTCGACGATTTCGAAATGATTTTAAAAAGAACGTTAGGAATTCTATGCATATTTGTGTGTTATTAGCGAGCACGTGCATGAAAAGGGCCGTTGTGATTGCAGGTTGCGCATTCCTGACGTACTTCAGCCCGGAGAGTGCCCTCAACGCCCAGAACGCTCTGCATGAGAAACACACGTTGCCAGGGGTAAGTTATCCATGCTCATTACCCACCTGCGCCGCTTTATTCTCCTCACTTTTTACCCCAACTGCTCCCTGTTCGACTTTATGGGAGAAGATGGATGGGGCGAACTACTCGCCAAAGCCTTTCTATTTTATTAGACGGTTTATACATGTGTTTCGTTCGTTCCATGGGAGGCTTAACGACCCAGAAATTTGTCTTTTTCTTTTTAAAATGGTCCGTAAAAACATTATTCGCGTGTTATGCGACGGGAAGATGCGCGGGGACTGTCTTAACACAAACAAACGCAAAATAAAACGACACAAATTTTTCTTTTACTCCAGTTTGGGGCAAAATATTTCTTCATTTAACATTATTACAGACGAGAAATGGGACAACCATTTATACGTTATTATTACAAAAAAGCGTACTAAATTTTGCATTAAAAAAGGAAACTTCAAAATACTTATTAATCGTTTTTTATTACGCGTATTTGCTCATTATTATTATTATCTCTATAATGGTATATTATATCACAAGGTAGAGAAGATTTTTTTTTATGATCGAGCTGTTTATAATAAATAGTAAATGCGAGGCTATCGTATAAAAATCTTCTCTACCGTGTTTTATATAACATTTTTTTCACTACAAGCACAATTATTACTCAGAAATTCAACGGTGAAAAATATAACCCTACTTAATGAGCTGTTGTCTCAGATGTAACATGTCGTAATTTTCAACTACAATTTTTGTTAATTTATTATTACCTACAGTAATTAATTACTTATGTAAGTTATTAACTTAAGGCGGAAGTATTATTTTCTTCTTATCATAAATGAGGTTAGTCATTTTTGTACTTCTGCAACTAATAATTTTTTTTTCTAAATTCGTAATATGAAATATTTGTTAAAATAACAAAGAAACTGCAAAGAAAAGGGAAAAAGTCTTAAAACTTACCTCACTACCAATAGTATTTTAACATTTTGACATAGACAGAATTATTAGAGTTGGGGTTACTCTGATGTTTTTAATGAAAAAAATTAAGTCTTTTAATTTAATTTTTCATTAATTTCATCTCGAAATACTTCCGTTAGTACTTGTGATGGTAATATGTAGTTTTCAATAATAATATTCTAGAAATATTTGTGTCCATGTAATGCCCTCCAATATCGGCATTTACCCATCTCTAATACATTACAGCCCTTGGTCTATAATGAAAATGATTATTGACTACTAGGACAGAAAAACAACTTCACAATTAGTGATGGGCACAATCGAATGAATCTTAACGAATAATTCGATAGTTGTCTATCATTCGAATTATTCGATAATAGAAAATACATTCATTCGTTAAAAATAATATATAAGACCGCAATACCGAATTATCGAATAAAATCATTTGTTTCTTTCTCACGTACAGTTAGTTAATGTGTTTATTTGACTCTAATCATTCAATCAAAGTTTGTACCTACTGAAATTTTGCCAAGCACGTGCGCGTATGAAAACAATTTGGGTTTTAAGAAATTGCTATTTAAAAAAAAAACAAAACAATACGGTCTAAATTTTTCGCCTTTCAATCATTAACTGTCCTGTTTTTGAAAAAAACTCTTTCTGCAGGCCCTGATGTCGCAGGTGTAGATAAATGATTTTGATTGAGTTATCGAATGATTTGAAGTATGATCGAATGAATCATTCTACACCATTTATTTGCTCAAACGATTGAATAAAATAAGCGAATGAATTTTAATAAATGATTCATTCGATAGTTCAAATCATTCGATAAATGATTATTCGATATTCAAAATCATTCGATTGTGCTCAAAACTATTCACAATCTCTCGACAAACTAAACAATGGTATCTTTTATAGCTGGTGGTGAAAATAGTATATTATGTCACAAGGTAGAGAAGAGATTTTTTATAGCCGAGCTGTTTATATCCCCAGATGCCTAGCATCAAAATAATAAATGCGAGGCTATCGTATAAAAATCTTCTCTACCGTGTTTTATATAACATTTTTTTCACTACTAACACATTTATTACTCAGAAATATAAAGTGAAAAATATAACAGTGCTTAATGAACATGTTGCCTCAAATGTAACAAGTCGTAATTTACAACTGCAATTTTTGTTAATTCATTATTACCTACAGTAATTAATTACTTATCTGAGTTATTAACTTAAGTTGGAAGTATTATTTTCTTCTTATCATAAATGAGGTTAGTCATTTTTGTACTTCTGCAACTAATAAAAGAATTTTCTAACTTTATAATATGAAATATTTGTTAAAATAACAAAGAAACTGCTAAGAAAGGGGTAAAAGTGTTAAAACTTGACTCACTACCAATGGTATTTTAACCAGAAATAAACCCATTTGTTGTTTTGACAGTTTTGACAGAATTATTAGAGTTGGGGTTATTCTGATATTTTTAATGAGAAAATTTAAATCTTTTAATTTAATTTTGCATTAATTTCATCTCGAAATACTTACGTTAGTACTTGTGATGGTAATAGTTTTCAATAATAGTAATGTAATACCCTTCAACATCGGCATTTACTCACCTTTAATCCATTATAACCCTTGGTCTATAATGAAAATGATTATTGATTACTAGGAGAGAAAAACAACTTCACAACCTCTCGACAAACTAAATAATGGTATCTTTTACAGCCACTAGTAGTAGTGAAAAAAATAATTTATTACATTTCATCAATTATTATTATTATTTTTATTTAATATTATTATTTGTAGTTATTAAATCTTTTTTCTTGAGTGCAAGTAGCATTTTTTAAAGTAATTATGTTGTTGCTTTTCTATTTTTGCCTTGAAATAAACACTTTTTCATCAATTTCCGTATCGAAATCACACCCCAGCTCTCGAAATTGAATTATTTCCCCAAAAGGCGTCTCATCGCAAAAATAGCATCGTCATTTCCAAAGCCGTTATTATCGCCGCAATAAAACACATTCCGGACTATCCACAGGATTCTGTAAATATTTAGGACACAAAAGGAAGACATAAAGATAATTTAAAGCGCCAGCTGGACACTCGGTTTATTTAAGACCATTCAAAATATACCAATGATGAAATATAGCTTTTTCACTAACCTCACCTTCCACTCAATGGCAAGAAGAAGAAATAGAACCATTGCCAAGCGGTTCTGTTTCCTGTTTTATCGAAAGATCTGGTTTGCGGTTGGATTTGCGAGTATGGTGTTTTAAATACGACTTCCGGGAGTAGATTATTCAACTATTGGCTTGCGTTATTGCCATAAATTTGATTTATGGGATACGAAAATAATTGGATTTCTCGAAAGACGAAGGCTGGCGTTTGTTTAGAGATTTTTACGGCACGTGCGCCAAAAGTAAATTTCTAATTTTATTAAAAGTGCAACTGCAAGTACAATGTCGCTTTTTTGTTTTCTATTCCAACACCGGAATAAATTAATATCGATAAATTACAATGATAAAACATAAATCATGCACTTGAACACAACAAAACATTTTTTTAAGAGAAGCAGATCTACTTTCATAATACTCCGATAGCGTGCCGTAGTATTATTATTATTTCGATATTACCCTCAACTATTACTTAGAAATTACCTAATAAAATGACATAGGCGGTTGCAAGGATATTTATTTAGACATTAAAATGATCAATAAAACTTCTCACAACGAAAAGTACTGTTTCTGTGTGATTAATTTTGAGTTGTAGCCAATGAAAGTGTGACAATTGTGAGTATAAAAAGGTCCAAGTCCGGCCATAAAGACGGCTTTTGTGTGGGGATATAATAACAAAGAATGGGTGAAATTTCTTTATGTGCTGAATTACGAAAGGTTTGGATAAACAACGGTGTTGTAAAATTGGGGAGCAAAAAATTGCAAAATTGGTAAATTTGAGTTTAAGTTAGTTTAATTAATTAATAATAAAAAGGAGAAGTAATAATTACTAATTGTCAAAAAATTATAATTTATTTTTTTAAATAAGAAAATATAATAAGTGTATGGTCTACTCTAAACATTGTGTGTTAAACAAAATATTTTGTGGTAAAAAAACTTTAAAGAAATTATTTCATTTAACAGAAACTTATACAGTTGTCTCAGAAATCATAAAAAAATTAAACTCTAACTCTACAGGTGGTTTCAGAGAAAAATACCCAGAAAGATAATATACCAGGAATATGGAACAATTTTTTTTAAATCCAATCTGTAAAAAAATTTCATGTTTATTTTTTAACATTATGTCTTGTTTATTTAATATTACTGATAGTTTTGTGTACATTTTTTCAGTAAAGGTGAAAAACCTTGCAATAAAGCCACAAATAATGTTAAAGTTACAGTTCAGAATACAGCTTCTTTGTTTCCTCTTCTAATAGCCTAGAGCAAAAAACAGAAATTTATTTTCTCACAGAAATTAATAGGGTCTGAGTGCAAAATTTAATTCTCTATAATTTCAATTTTTTGTAATAGAATTTTCCAATATTTCTGGCATTTTTTTCTGTGGTGCAAGTTTTAAAACACCTGTATAGTACAAAATCATGATGTAACAATTATGAATTCAAAAATATTGTAGTTTTATTTTTCAATAAAAAATTGTAGATGTTACAAAAAAAATATTTTCTGTCACTGAGCCAAATTTTCGGTTGTTATTAAGATTTTGACTTTCTATTGATAGCATCAAAGCTGACTTTTTTCCATTAATTCTAGAAAATTCTATATGTATGTTGATAGGCAAGATGGTTTATTAAGACTTGAACTTAATTTTTTTATAATTTCTAATTTTTATATTGATTAGTTTTATTAGTGAAATCTTAACAAAAATATTTAAATGATTTGAAAAAAATCAAGGAAAAGAGAAATGATTGGGATATAGTTTCAAAGCTCTTTTCTATTTTCCATTTTCCATATGGAGCATTATTTGTGTTAGTTAATTGTTGTTTAATACTAAAATTGTTCTCAAAATTTTTACGTTTTTTTTTTTTTGTAAAAAGAAGTAATTGAGTGAACACAAATGCTTTAATAAATTAC